ACCAGAGTTTAATCCATAAATCCGACTTTCATTCTTTTCATTTGGTTTTGTTTACCTCCAACATTTCCAGCCGGGCTTTCCCCGGGCCACACTTCACCGTGCGCGGCCGAAGCAGCGCTCGGATGTGAGAAAACCGAGACAAGACTTTCTCAGACAGGTGCGGTTTCCAACTAAGTTTAGCTCTCTTAGCAGCTGTTTATTGTGATAAAGTGATAAATTGTTTGTACAGGTCGTTGTTCATGTGGCTTCGACTCAAATTCACCTGTAATAATAAACGTTTTACTCATAAATTTTTATATCTGTTTAGAAAAGTTGAGCTAGGATAACTCCCCTTGCCGTTTTCAGAGACAACAGCAACAGTTGGCTTCTGCTCATACAGGTGAGGTGTGGCATCATTTCCAGCTCTTGCTCCTATTCACCAGAGGCGATCCTACATGCAAACTAAAGGGGGGCATTGGAAAGGCACCCCAGAAATTTAACCCCCTCCCCAGGCCAGATAGTTTGTGTGTGTGTATGTATGTATGTATGTATGTATGTATGTATGTATGTATGAATGTATGTATATATATATATATATATATATATATATATATATATATATATATATATATATATATATATATATATATATATATATATATATATATTTATATATGTATGTATGTATGTATATATATATATATATATATATATATATATATATATATATATTTTTTTTTCCGTTAGCAGGCCATATTGTGCAGAAGAGAAGATCTAGTTTGTCACCAGACAATGTGAACAAGCTGGTCTGCTTGAGTGACTGGTGGAAGAAGGAGAAATACAGCTTGGACTGATTGACCAAATGCTACTGACTGTAAATAGTTAATTATGACCTATTCTGTAGACCTACAGTGCAGAATTTGTTGAACTGAATAAACAGCTGTTAAACACAAATACTTATTGATCATTATTTATTTTCATCATCAGTTATCGTAGTAAAACTGCTTTATCAGTCTGTGATGCATTATTGAAACAAGAAATATGCCTCCATTCTCAAAAACTTGCTTTTATTCATTATCTAGGTAGCACACACATATGCCTTTGGCAGAATTTGAATGATCCATTTTAATCTAGATTAATCTAGATTAATTCCAAGATTACAGTGAGATTAATCTAGATTTGAAAAATTAATCTATGCCCACCACTAATATATATATATATATATATATATATATATATATATATATATATATATATATATATATATATATATATATATATATATATATATATATATATATATCCATCCATCCATCCATCCATCTGCTTATCCGGTGTTGGGTCGTGGGGGCAGTAGCCTAAGGCGAGAGGCCCAGACTTCCCTCTCCCCAGCCACTTGGGCCAGCTTCTCCGGGGGAATCCCAAGGTGTTCCCTGGCCAGGTGAAAGACATAGTCCTTGCACCATGTCCTGGGTCTACCTTTAGGTCTCCTCCCGGAAAGACGTATCTGGAAAACCTCACCAGGGAGGCGTCCAGCAGGCATCCTAACCAGATGCCCAAGCCACCTCAATGGTCTCCTCTCGATGTGGAGGGGCAGCAGGACTACTCCGAGCCCCTCCCGGATGACCGAGCTTCTCACCCTATCTCTGAGAGCCCATCCATTCTTTGGAGAAAACTCATTTCGGCTGCTTGTATCCGATATCTCGTTCTTTCGGTCACTACCCAAAGCTCATGACCATAGGTGAGGGTAGGAACGTAGATCAACCAGTAAATCGAGAGCTTTGCCTTCTGATTCAGCTCTCTCTTCACCACGACAGACCGGTACAACGCCCGCATCACTGCAGATGCAGCACCAATCTACCTATCGATCCCATGCTCCAGTTTTCCCTCACTCGTGAACAAGACCCGGAGATACTTAAACTCCTCCACTTGGGGCAGGACCTCATCCATGACCCGGAGAAGGCATTCTACCCTTTTCCGAATCAAGACCATGGTCTCAGATTTAGAGGAGTTGATTCTCATCCCAGCTGCTTCACACTCGGCTGTGAACTGCTCCAGCAAAAGCTGAAGATCACGTTCTGATGAAGCTAACAGGACTGCATCATCTGCAAAAAGCAGAGACCTGATCCTTAGGCCACCAAAGCGGATGCCCTCCACACCTTGGCTGCGCATAGAATTCCTGTCCATAAAGGTTATGAACAGAATCTGTGAAAAAGGGCAGCCTTGGCGGAGTCCAACTCTCACTGAGAAAGAGCCCGACTTACTGCCGGCAATGCGGACCAAGCTCTTACACCGGTCATACAGGGACCTAACAGCCCATATCAGAGGGCCCTGTACCCCATACTCCCGGAGTACCCCCCACAGGGCCCTCCCGAGGGAAGCAGTCAAACGCCTTCTTCAAATCCACAAAACACAAGTAGACTGGTTGGGCAAATTCCCACGCACCCTCCAGGATCCCCCTAAGGGTATAGAGCTGGTCCAGTGTTCCACGGCCAGGACAAAAACCACATTGCTCCTCCTGAATCTGAGGTTCAACAATCCAACGGACCCTCCTCTCCAGAACCCCTGAATAGACCTTACCAGGAAGGTTCAGGAGTGTGATCCCCCTGTAGTTTGAACGCACCCTGCGGCCCCCCTTTTTAAATAAGGGGACCACCACCCCAGTCTGCCAGTCCAGTGAGACTGTCCCCGATGTCCACGCAATATTGCAGAGCCACGTCAGCCAACACAGCCCCACAACATCCAGAGCCTTAAGGAACTCCAGGCGTATCTCATCCACCCCTGGAGCCTTGCCACAGAGGAGCTTTTTAACCACCTCAGTGACCTCAGCACCAGCGATTTGAGAGGCCAACCCAAAGTCCCCAGACTCTGCTTCCTCAATGGAAGACGTGTCGGTGGGATTGAGGAGGTCTTCGAAGTATTCTGCCCATGAATCCACAATGTCCTGAGTAGAGAACAGCAGCACACCGTCCCCACTATAAATAGTGTTGGTAGCACACAGTTTCCCCCTCCTGAGGCGCCGGACGGTGGACCAGAATCTCCTCGAAGCCGTACGGAAGTCTTACTCCATGGTCTCTCCGAACTCCTCCCATGCCCGGGTTTTTGACTCGGCGACCACCTGAGCCACGTTCCGCTTGGACTGCCAGTACCCGTCAGCTGCTTCTGGAGTCCCACAGGCCAAACAGACCTGAGAGGACTCTTTCTTCAGCTTGACAGCATCGCTAACAGCCGGTGTCCACCAGCGTGTTCGGCTTCTCCCTGGGCTGCTACCTTACCATTGTAGCGTTTTGGATTTATGCTCTTTTATGAAAGAGAAACCATGCTACGTATTAATTCAGAATATTAATTTTAATAAATCAATAACCAAATTTTATATTGTTCAGAAGACTCAAAGGTTGTTTTCATCCATAAACTGCCGATAATATCTGAGTGTCTGTGTTTCAGTTCAATGAGGAAACAAGTTTGAAGGATTAAAAGTTTTAATTCTTCAAATTAAACTAATGATTTTGAAAATTGACAAACAGGAAATAACAATCACATTGGCAACTTTGTGGGACAATCTTTTAACAGTTTATATGCTGTTCTTGCTCAACTAGACCTTCTGGTGAATTTATGAAGATTGAGAATGTTGTGACATGAATGCGTGTGTGAGTCTGATTTTGCTTCAGGAAGAACAGGTGTCTGAGTGAAGTGATGGTTTGGATAAACTTAGGTCTTATCAGAGAACTGCATCAAACGCTAAAACCGTGCTCTGTCTCACCGAACTCTTGTGGACCCTCTTTCGGATCCGGGCCGTGGAGGATGTTGTGGTTCATCCAGATGACACCGGCGGCTGACAGGAGACGTAGGTGTCGAACGGAACCGGTCCAGAGTTGCCCTCGGTACACGTGGATGGTAGAGCGTTTTATCGATGCGCTTTCTTAAGTTAATTCACTCAGAAATCAAAAGACTCGGTAATGAGTCTTCGTTAGAAGTCGCGATTCAGCTATTCTGCCTGGCTTGGCAGAAACAGCGTGAAAGGGGGGAAGAACGAGCCAACAGGCTCTGCCCCCCCCTTTGGTTTTCAGGTCTGTTCTCTCCCGTTGTCCAACACGAACTGCCTCAGAAGACTGAAACTTACCAAAAACCTTTCTCTTCTCAAAGCAAACGTGCGTCATCAAATGTGTCTGGAGTTTACTGTGAGCAGGTGTGTGTGGATGTGTGTGAATGTTTGTGCTTGAGTGTGTGTGAAGGTCAGTAACAAACATTCTCAACATTATTTAAGAATGGATTCATTAAACCATTATAATTACCCCAAAGCATAAGTCATTCATTTGATTAAACACATTTATAATGAGCAAAATGATAATGGTTATTTTAACATTAAAATCAAGAAAAAGAAGTTTAAACTTTATGTTTTGACTTGGTCTGGGTACAACTCATGTAAACACATCTTCTGGTAGACTGCAGGTGGCAGATGTTATGGTTTCCTCCCAGACTCGCTGGCGTTCAGGTCTTAATCTGTGGGTGAAAGTTCTCAGCGACCCAGCTTTGACACAGCTGAGTCCAACACCACCATTGTGACAGAAAACCCATATTTCCTCACGTTACATTCCCCCCTTTTGTGACGACATGGAGGTCAAGCAGAGGCCACCTGACGTCACAACCACAATAACGTGATGTACTCGTAAAGGTAGACATCCCAGATGAAGGCAGGAACGATGAAGCGTCACCACAGGTCTCGTGTAGAAGGGAGTCTATCCTGATCAGATGATTAAGGCCAAAACTGTTGCAATCATTGTAAAGTAATCCACTTAGGAATCTTGAAAGCTGAGCTATGCCAATAGCAGTTAATTTTCATCAGCCATAATGCAAAGGTATGCAAAGGATAAGCAGCTCGTGTGCCACACGGAGCTGGGCAGGTGATGTATTCCCCAGGCGTAGTCCAGGCGAAGTCCAGCGCAGACCTCGACCCATCTCGAACCACGACCGAAGCCCCATGCGACAGGAAACCAGTTTAAGGATGGTGAAGACGGCCCCTCTGATGGGATGTAGTCCATACGAGCTCGGAGAAGGAGACAAAGTGAGACAGCCCACACGATAGATAGCATTCGATGCAAAACAAAGAAATCAATCAAAACCTATCTATGGGTGCCTCTGGGAAAATGTGGGTGCCTTTTGTGAATTATCTAAAGAAGAAATGTACTGCACCCTGTTCTACGTGTCATGTAAAAACGTGATGCAGGGAAAACACAAATAAAAGAAAGTATATCCTAACTGATATGTGTAACTCAGCAGGCTGCATTAATTAAAGGCATATATATAAAGGAAATAATCATGAAAATGAAGGGCAAATTGGCTTGTGGCCCTTTAAGGGAAATAGCAACAAAATAAAATTAAATTTGTAATCAAATATAACCATGCTACACAAAGCACTAAGAAAAGATAGAGATGTAAATCAGTTCTAAAAATGTAACTCAGTAGGTTAGTAACCCCTAAAAATGTGAGTTAGTAACAGGACCCTGGCTGGAGGCAGGTAACCTGAAAAAAAAAACTCAAAGGATATCACATTTGTTAAAAATTCATCCCACAAACGAGAGAATTTGTAACGGTCCACCAGTCAGTGGAAAAGAATCCGGTCAGAATAGAGTTTTGAATCTGGTATTGCGGACCCACAGAGACACGAGTTTGGACGTATCTGTGGGAGCAGGCTCATAAGCGATTTGGTTATCAAACTGTTTGTATCTGGTGTTACGAACCCACAGGGAAACTTGTTTGAATTTACCTGAGGGTTCCGTTTGGAACTGGAGCGAAGCTGATGGTTTAACTGTTAGATCAGAACCTGATTTTACCTGCTCAAAGTTGTGTTGCAGCTTAACGGAGGCGACTTTGTTGTGATCAGAAATAGTAGTGAACTGGAAATGCGAAAATGATGCTCGCAAAGCGGGAGGAGGCTCCCCACCCCCCTTTTGTTTCTCAAACGTATGCCGTGTCTGTGAGACAGGAGAAGCATAACAAAGAACAGTTCTTAAGCTCTTAAAAGCCCTATTACCAAAAAGATGCACATCGTCACCTGAATTGTGCTGAAAGAGTAGGTGTTCAGATGTCCAAAGACCTGGAGGCGTTGGACTTGGAGGTTCCGAAAAGGAGTGATCCAAGGATGGTTGTGTCACGGGTGTCAAAGCAGACCTAGCCATGTTTAGAATCAGATACAGACATGTCGCTAGCTTTAGGAACATGGTCTGTCCTGAAAACTTAAACCAAGAATACTTTATTCCCAAGAATGATGGAGGTTCCCACACAGAACCAGAAAAACCCGGTTTAACCAGAGTAGTTACAGACTGACTAGAACTCCGCCCCGTAGAAGGTGCAGCACCTAACTCCGGGTCGGAGGTCAATGTTGTCAGCTGAATTGGAGGAAGGTCAGTGTCGAGTTCTGCAATGACCCGCCCGCTCGGAGGAGGCGTTCCCCCGAACTGGTTGAAGTCCGCAACGGAAAACTCAGAGCCACTCAGCACCCCCCCTTTGTCAGGAGGGGCACCGAGCAGAGCATCACTGCACGCACCTACACCTCCCGGGCCGGGTTGCCTTCCCGAGCCCGTGAGAGAGGTGTGCGCAGCAACCACCGAGCCACCTTTAATATCGCCACTGACCACAGGACTGCTGGAAACCGCAGGGTTTTCTGCTTCGTCGTGGTCACCTGTAAGAGAAATCACAGGAAAGAGGGCACAGAGGCCCGAGACTAAGTCACACCCCTGTGAAAGGAGAAAAGAATTGGCCACCGTATTAGCAGAGGTCACAAACTGAAAAGTGACAAGGTCATTCACATAAAGGTCAAGATGTCCGGGCACAAACCCCTTAAATGGCATGGCAGCTCCGTCCGGAGACCATAAGCGTTTCACGGCGGCTGACGTTTCCATCACGCCCCGATAAAGAAGCTGGTTTGTGCATGAAGCGGACTGACGAGTAAAACGGACCTCTGACTGAAGCGGTGGATCACAGCCTGAAGATTGCACACCCATGCTGGAGAGATGTTCAGCCTTTAACATGGATGACAGAGGAGAAGCATTAGGAACCAAAGGGCTAAGCACAACCTGTTTGTCAGAGAGGTTAACCATAGGCTCAAGAGATTTATTCAGCTTAAAAGCAGCAGAGAAAGTGTTGTTTATTTCAAACCTGGATGTTGATGGTGGTTTTTTTACCCCCTGGAAGAAATAAAAGTAAAGAAAAAGCGTTATGACTGTAAACAGCATGTTGCTCGAATTCACGACATGAAGTGCAGACCAGAACCACCTCCGACCCAGTGCAGCTGGCACCGAACCGCAGCCACTAGTCCCCACTGTTCCCGACCGGCGGCACCCGGCTAAAACGGGCCCGTTCGGGCGGGCGGAGGGACCAGCGATGCTCGGCCGGTGAATGTCCTGCGTCTTGGCATGTTCTGGAAGCAGAACGTCAGAGAACCTTACATCAGGTGTAACAGTGCAAGAAAGATTTTGTCGTGTCTCGTCCATCTCCCATTAAGTTCAGAGCAACTCGCGTTTTTACCTTCTGAGCCGACGTAAAACTCCGGGCAGATTCCTTAATATGTCTCACACAACAAGGACTGTCCGTAGCCTACTTAACTTAATGACACAGGGTAAAACAAGGAATTGTTGATAGAGAAATGAATACACACTACTTCACAAGATGGAAGAAAAAGGCATGGAACCGAGCAACGGAGGCTGTGAAAGCCGACCCGTTCACCGGTCCAAAATAAAAATAATAAAAAAAATAAAAATAATAAAAAAAATAACAAACCCTACGCTGCCGTGTTGGTATCAGACGGACAAACGTAGCAAAATGTAGATTCTACACACCGTAGCGATTTACAAGAATCACCGCCAATGCGGGTTTTGTGAGGACACAGACTGACTGTGCCAGAAATGATGACAATTTAACGGGACGCGTGCCCTATTTGTCTAACTGTGGCGCTAGCTTAGCTCCCCGGCCAGGCCTAGCGTTCTTTGTCTGTAGCGGCCAGACTGAAATTTCCCCGATTAACAAGTAGGCATCTCGCTCCACTTTTAATACGGACTTTAAAAAAAACGTACGCAATCTGAATGCAGTAACGCGTAACGGCTGTGCCTCGCTTTGCGACGTTTACTGAGCAGTCAAGCTCCGGCAGGTGTCACCGAGCATTCCGTTTAAAAAACGCACGCAATCTGAATGCAGTAACGCGTGACGGCCATAACCCGGCTTACGACGTTTACCGTGCAACCAAGCAACAGTAGGTGCCTACGGGCATTCCGTTTAGATTCGGCTTCTATAAGTCGCTCATGCAATGGAGATATTTTCCACAATAGCTCGCCCACAGTGTCAACACACTGAGACGAAAGGTGTCCGAGAATTTAGTCTCGGTTCTGAGGTCGGAGAATTTAGTGAGCGGAACAATTTCCGGTTAAGTTCAAAATAAGACATCAAAGTGAAACACAGAGAAAAGCGTTGTTTGTAGCTCTTAGATGTAAGAAATCAGACATATCGCAGATATAGAAGACTGGATACGCTCGCCATTAAATGTAGCGTTTTGGATTTATGCTCTTTTATGAAAGAGAAACCATGCTACGTATTAATTCAGAATATTAATTTTAATAAATCAATAACCAAATTTTATATTGTTCAGAAGACTCAAAGGTTGTTTTCATCCATAAACTGCCGATAATATCTGAGTGTCTGTGTTTCAGTTCAATGAGGAAACAAGTTTGAAGGATTAAAAGTTTTAATTCTTCAAATTAAACTAATGATTTTGAAAATTGACAAACAGGAAATAACAATCACATTGGCAACTTTGTGGGACAATCTTTTAACAGTTTATATGCTGTTCTTGCTCAACTAGACCTTCTGGTGAATTTATGAAGATTGAGAATGTTGTGACATGAATGCGTGTGTGAGTCTGATTTTGCTTCAGGAAGAACAGGTGTCTGAGTGAAGTGATGGTTTGGATAAACTTAGGTCTTATCAGAGAACTGCATCAAACGCTAAAACCGTGCTCTGTCTCACCGAACTCTTGTGGACCCTCTTTCGGATCCGGGCCGTGGAGGATGTTGTGGTTCATCCAGATGACACCGGCGGCTGACAGGAGACGTAGGTGTCGAACGGAACCGGTCCAGAGTTGCCCTCGGTACACGTGGATGGTAGAGCGTTTTATCGATGCGCTTTCTTAAGTTAATTCACTCAGAAATCAAAAGACTCGGTAATGAGTCTTCGTTAGAAGTCGCGATTCAGCTATTCTGCCTGGCTTGGCAGAAACAGCGTGAAAGGGGGGAAGAACGAGCCAACAGGCTCTGCCCCCCCTTTGGTTTTCAGGTCTGTTCTCTCCCGTTGTCCAACACGAACTGCCTCAAAAGACTGAAACTTACCAAAAACCTTTCTCTTCTCAAAGCAAACGTGCGTCATCAAATGTGTCTGGAGTTTACTGTGAGCAGGTGTGTGTGGATGTGTGTGAATGTTTGTGCTTGAGTGTGTGTGAAGGTCAGTAACAAACATTCTCAACATTATTTAAGAATGGATTCATTAAACCATTATAATTACCCCAAAGCATAAGTCATTCATTTGATTAAACACATTTATAATGAGCAAAATGATAATGGTTATTTTAACATTAAAATCAAGAAAAAGAAGTTTAAACTTTATGTTTTGACTTGGTCTGGGTACAACTCATGTAAACACATCTTCTGGTAGACTGCAGGTGGCAGATGTTATGGTTTCCTCCCAGACTCGCTGGCGTTCAGGTCTTAATCTGTGGGTGAAAGTTCTCAGCGACCCAGCTTTGACACAGCTGAGTCCAACACCACCATTGTGACAGAAAACCCATATTTCCTCACGTTACACCATGGTGGAGGAGTTTGAGTGTCTCAATGACCCTAGGAGCTAATTTGTCTGAGGCTTTCTGCCTCTTGTAGGGTCACCCATGGCAAACAGGTCCTAGGTGAGGGATCAGACAAAGAGCAGCCCGAAGACCTCTTATGATGAATTATATAAATGGAAACCGTGTTCCCTCACCCGGACGTGTGTCACCGGGGTCCCTCTCTGGAGCCAGGCCTGGAGATGGGGCACGTTGGCGAGCACCTGGTGGCCGGGCTTTCACTCATGGAGCCCGGCCGGGCACAGCCCGAAGAGGAAACGTGGGTCCTCCTTCCCATGGGCTCACCACTCGTGGGAGGGGCCAAAGGGGTCGGGTGCGGTGTGTGATGGGTGGTAGTCGAGGGCGGGGAACTTGGCAGTCTGATCATTGGCTACAGAAGCTGGCTCTTGGCGCATGGATTGTCACCTCTGGTGGGGAAGGAGCCTGAGTTGGTGTGTGAGGTTGAGAGGTTCCGACTAGATATAGTCGGACTCACCTCAACGCATGGCTCTGGAACCAGTTTCCTTGAGAGGGGTTGGACTTTCTACCACTCTAGAGTTGCTCCCACTGAGAGGCGCCGAGCAGGGGTTGGCATACTAGTTGCCCCCCCTTCTTGGTGCCTGTATGTTGGGGTTTATATATATATATATATATATATATATATATATATATATATATATATATATATATGTGTGTGACATACATATATGGTCACAAAATAACTCAGTAAATGGAGTAATTCGTAATAAAATGAAAAAGAAAAAGAAAAGGAAAAGATAACAGGGTGCAAAGTGGCTGAAAGCCAGGAGAGCACCTGAAATCTGAGTATTGAGAGTGAAACCCTGTCCCCATCAGCAATAAAGCATCATTTCCACCGCCCAAACAGCCACAAAACGGGGAGGATCGGCTTGTTAATTTTTCTGCCACAATTGTAAAACTGGTCCAGACAACTGACCTGGACCACGCCAGTCATGGGACTTTTTTGACCCCCTTTGGTTGTAGGTCCAGAAATTTGTGGAGTGGTTCGGTTAGGTCAGAGCAACAACACAGGGCATCGATTAGGGGACAGAACAACGTCACTACTTGCAACATGCGAAACAAATCTCGGAGTTCCGTTGTTTGTATTTTTATTAGTTTTGCATGAATGTGAGGAAATGCCAGCGAGTGGCAGCTTGTTTTGGTCGGCTTCAGAGCTGGGAGTCCATACTCAGGAGAAGCTAGGTGGATGAAAGCTTTTGAAGAAGTTTCTCACTAGATGGTAGCTGAAGGATTCGAGCGGACGTCTGAACGGAGTCAGACAAATCGGAAGAAATGAAAGCCCAATGCAGATGAAAGTTAAGGACAGAAAATCCCAGAGTAGAAATGGGGAAAATACATGGAGATGCTGTGAAGCGCTGGGTGCTGCATATAGCCATGGACTGGCAAACTGAGGCAGGCCTGGACTCAGCGACCGCACTCTGTGAATCCTGTGGTAAACATTCATTTTTTTGTCTTTAGTTCTGCAGACCATTCATTACAGCTCAAAAATACTTAATCGTTTCAAAACGTATTCATGAAATAATATTTTAAGATCAATAGTTCAACAATAAAAAGCTCCTTGTCCATGTGTTGGTGAATGGGTTTGTGCCATAAAGCGTGTTGCAATGTCTGTTGCAAAGTAATCCACAATGTAGTCAACTGCTGAGCCGCGGCCAAAACGTGGCGCTTGAAATAGAACTGGCGCATTTTTTCAGCGCCTTGGCATGGACCGGTGGTTCTGGGACGTGGCATGCGCTCCCGTGTAGCCACTCTCTGTAAACTATAATGGCTTCTTATCAAAATGACGGCACAGGCATGATGCAGCACATCTGTCTTCTGTGTGCCCCAGGCTTAAGCCTCTGTTTGATGCCAACTGCTTTTGACTGAAAGTAGCTGAAGTTACCCCCAAAAGTCGCTAGATGTCGCCAGATGACGTCACGTGTTCATTTACATATTGATGACGTCATCACGCCACATTGGCATTCATTTTCCCCTAGCATCTAAAAGATGCTATATATATAACTAAAAGGGAGGAAAATAAAAACTATGTTATATGTTAAAGTTATCAATTAGTATGATTAAAATGGCCCAAATTGCTTTGATATGTACAATAAATTCCAAAAGTATCAATAAAGTGACATTAAGAAAGATATGGTGTGGTGATCCAAACAGTTCTGTTGTAGGATATGACCGACCGCCTGCTCTCCTCATTCTCACAGACATTTTCCTAAAAGGCTTTTTATTTTACACCTCATAGTTTCTCAACTTCTCTGTTGTGTATTCTCTCCATCGTGATAATAACGGTGCTCCGAGCAAAAGGGAGCGGGTGTCTCATAGTATAACCATCCCTGTGTCACTGAAGGAAATTCAGATCAGCCACAGAGCTGCGTGTGTAAACGGGACGGTAGTTGAAACTCCCGTTGACTTTACTTGCCAAATGCAGGAAAAGCCAAAGTGTCTGACGGCTGCAGAACCAGAGATCGCAGGTCGACGCCTGCGCCATCTCCAGTAGAAGCGTGAGCCTGCAGCAGCAGCAGACGTAAGTCGGCAGTCTCCAGCTCTGCAACTGTCTTGGGCCCAGCTGAATACGGTTTATGATTGGTCAGTCCTCGTGCACATGTGCAGATTGTCGTTCTCTTTCCTTACTCCCGGAAGAACAGTTCAGAGAGCAAATGGTTTCTTTGTTGCTAATCTATAGGGAATATCTACAAGAAAGTTCTACAGAAAGTAGCAACGGGTCCTGAGAAATGTCGCTAGGTTTGTCGCTAGGCGCTTTTTGGGAAAAAAGTCGTTGAGGGGGGTCAAAAAGTCATTAGGAACAGTGACAAAGTCGCTGAGTTGGCAACACTGTTTGGGTGTTTTGTCTTTTGCATGGACCAATTTCTGTCTGATAGAATATTGGTCCAATAGAAAAATCAGGAGAGTTCTCCGAGAACCATTCGGTCAGAACTTCAGGAAGACCTTGCATCAGCAGCTACTTTTTTAAAACAGAAAACTAGAAGCAATGCCTTGAACCACTGTGGCATCCATACATGCTCACTACCCAAAACTCCATTGCTGAACAAAAAGCATGTTGAGGCTTGGTTAAAGAAAGTCTATGGAGAGAACTTAAGGAAACCCAAGGAGCCTTTAAGATTTAAAGAGTGTTTGTGTGGACGAATGGGCCAGATCACTTCTGAGCAATGCAGACAACTGGTCTCTCCATACAAGGGGTGTCTAGAAGCTGGAATCACCAACAAAGGCTTTTCTGCAAAGTATTAAATACAGTGTGTTCAGTACTTAATCTCTGTTTCATTTAACTTTATTTATTATGACTCAACTTGTATACTTAAATTATTTCTTTTTATTAATTCAAGCTTTGGCTTGATGGACAGAACTGCTGCAAACTTTGTGTAAATAGCTCACTTAGAAATCAGGGTGGAAAAAATCAATCAGCTGATGCTGATTTGTGATCTTTATTCAGAAATGCTGCATTGTTGCTATGATTTCTATTATCATAAAATAAATGGTAACAGTTAATAGAATCTTTTATTACTTTTATTAATTAAAGGGGTGGAAAAAAAATTCACATTTTAAATGGACGTAAATCTGTTCTGTGTGTGTACGTGTGTTTTCTGTGCAGAACTGGCTGTACTGCAGAATGAGTTTTAAGTCCTACCCCAATATATTTAAAAATGGTCAATGTTGCTAATTAAAATAAAAATACATATTTATTTAATTAAAAACAAAAATGCACAAAATGGATCACCAAACTATAAGGAATCAATCTTTATTTATATTAAATTAAAAATATACTTTTGACAGATTCATGTAACAAACATGAGGAACGGTAATTTCTCTGATATAAAGCTTTGGGTTATGGTTTCAAAGGATTCAGATAGAGATAGTCACCAATGACGATGACGGGGATGAGGAAGACCAGCACTTCCTCTAAAAGCATGCAAACCAAACAGGAATATAAAAAATCCAAACTAAATAAAAGTAGCAGTGAAAGACATGGCTTTTAAGCAGATAACACAGTTTAGGTTAGCTGGCAGCACTGGATTCAGTTACATTAAATATAAAATGGAGGGATTAGCATGGACAAGAACACCTGCTTATTTTAGATAAATATGGCACTGATCATCCTGCTGCCACCTCTTTTATAGTTGAACTGAAACATTAGATGAGGAAAGCCACGAAGATTAGCAGGAACATGGCCACTGAACAGGGTTTCACATGATAAGGGGTCAATAAGCACTTTAAAAACTAACAAATGAAAAATAATCCCCGTTAATCCAAAGGTACACTCACATTAAGCAAATATGTCTGTTTTTGTACAAGTTATGAAAGGGAGAAAAACAACAGCAGGAGAGAATATAAATTGAAAGCATTGCCTTCTTATTTACAATCATCCACGTTGGCCATTACAGTGCTTTAGAAAAATACTATTCACATTTGTTGCTGAAGTGTGTTAGATTCATTTTGGAGGAAACTCCAAATATTCTGTACAGACACTCTGATCTGGTAATTTGCGATGGAAAAAGACTTCCCGTGTAGCTAGATTTACATACAGTCAATAATGTACAGTAGCGAACGATAGTGGCACACTTCAATGACATGGAGGAAATGTAATATTAAAGGAGTATAGGAGCTCGTTCACACACATCTCAAGAAAAGTTTCAGAATGAATAAAAGTCCAGATTGTGCTACTAGAGTCAGCATAAGTAGGCTGTTAATCTGTTGCACGCTCAGTAATGAGATACAAAGATGGAGGGCAGTAAAACACAGTTTGGGTACAAAGCAAATGTAATATTTACTGTATAACAGAGTCCGGCTGCCTTTATGATGAGTGAAGACAAATCATTAAACATGAATTAATTTGATACATGGCTACATGACTTTGAACCTTGGCTTGGAGTGTGAACAATCAAATAAAAGGATCAGTTTGGGCCTAGTTCACACATAGACCATCCTGTAGGGTTGGGTAAATTTTGTGCTGAAAGACTAAAAATAGACTGAATGCTAATTTAGGATTAAAAAATTTTTTTTAAAAGATTTTCAGTCTTTCAGAATGCCTGTAGCAGAAACACATCTTTATTCCTCCAGATAGAGAGCCTAAGTTATGCTCATCTTCTTCTGGACCATTTGTACCCAGAAGAACACAAAAATGAATGCAAGTCATTGTCAATGAGGCTAAAAACGCTATTTTCTAATCCCGTTTGTTATGTACCATGGATTTCACATATGATGTCCGTGAATTTTAGACACATTTTGGTGCAAAGAAAGTGATTCTTTTCGAAAGGGGGCAGACAGTGTTTTAGGTTTTCTCACCATTTGTGGTCCAGGACTACAAATGCACATCACCAAATTGACGTCATCGAACCAAACATGGAGAGAAGCTGAGGAAAATTGACTAAGTTTATTGAACTTGAAATCCCTCCCTCAGGAAGAAGGAACCACCATTAATCCGGCCATGTGGTAGGCTAAGTAGCAGCTACGCTAGGGGAGAGGAGATTCTGTGGTGATGTCATATATGCTACATATCTGCATCTGATTTGTAGTCATGCTAATTACAAACCTATACAAGCTGATAAATCTCAAAGTATGTGACAGGCATGGTCGAAACACACATAGTTACTTTTCATTTAAATTGAAGTAGAACATATGTGTGATTCAGGGCGTAAGGCACAGCAGATTAGCCCTGTTGACTCGCATTCATTTTTTCCTTCTTCCAGGGACCCATGAGCCGACCGGAAAAGGAGCCGAATTAAGCTTCCAATAGTGAACAAGATATTCTGAGTAAATCAAGATTTTGACCAGTTATCGTCTTAAAATTTGATACTAGCAGCTAGCTTTGCTGTAATGATAATGCTAACATAAACAAGAAGGAAAAACACAATCATATTGAATTATTCTAAGTAAATGCTAATGCTAATGTATAACTAGCATTTCTTCTGGTGAAGTAATACATTAATCTTTCAGTTTTACTTTCCCCTGTAAAATGGTTAAAGACGAAAACTACAACTTTCCATTACTGCTAGGACCTAATCCTCAACCTAAGGATCAAATCCTCATTACCAAAGTATTTCAGGTTTTGCATTTCAACACATGATTTGGTAGCCTTATTAAAGTGAATATTTTAGTGACTTCAAACTGCATTTTAAAGAAAAGCCTCACAGAAGGCAGGTTTTCTCCTGCCATAGGCTTATGCATGTGAACTAGGCCTTAAACATCAGTTTTAAAAAATAAAATAAAAACATTTAGCAAAACAAGTGCTTAGAGTGAAGTCAGACGGCAGCAGGTTAACTCAACAAGGCAAAATCAGTAGGAAACACAAGTCAGAGCGATAACAGGGGCATGTGTGCTGCTTTTAACCCCCGTACTCCACCTTCTCTCTCGTTCTGAAAACCTACATTCATCAGGAGCCTGCGTTGCTCGGCGTAAACAAGCCAACGTGTTCCATAAATCTTTAACTCTGATATTAAATGCTGTCTCTATTTCTTTGAATTTTTAGTCTCTTCAAAAGAGACTACAAAATACAACCTCATCAATTAATCATGTGATCATCAAAGCAGTTTTATATAAATAATGTTTGGGAGAAAAAAAAACATGGAAAAGACAACAATCTTCAAGCTGATAAATTCCACCTTCAATTTAGTTTTTTATTCTTTGTCTTGAACTCTTGAACACAGCACCTTCCTCAGACGAAAGCTTTGTCCTTATGTGGTAAACGACCATATAAACGAGTTGAATATTTCAAGAAGGAAGGGTGGAAATGCTCTCTTTTCTACCCGCATCTTTGATCAAAGCACTCCATGGGGAGAGAAACGTACGGCTTTACATGTGCATAGACAAATGCTTAAATACATGTCATATAAATACCCCAAATTACCTAGGGTGCTCCTTCAGCACATTTATGGAGCACTCTCTTAACAATGACAAATCTGTTTCTGTTTCTGCTAAATAAACTAATACAGCATCCATTTTAGTGATTGAAAATCCAGTAAGAAGCTATAAGAAAAACCACTGAGGTTGAATCCTCTCAGTTTGGCAAACATTTGCGTGGTATGGTTTGAAGAGGTAAAGGATGGTTCATGAAACAGGTTATTTTAGCAGCAGTGATGACGGTGTCTCCATAGAGGCATCAGTAGTATATTGTAGTGACAGTGTGTTGTCCTCAAGAGTTGTTTTGAACTGAATTGCACTCTAAACCAAATGGAAAGAAATAATATTTGGAGCATTTATGATTAAAACGCTGAAAAGTAGTCCGCAGCCAGGTTCTCACTCGGCTGCGACTGTCATGATTAGCTTGAAACACAAAACTGTAAAATTGCAACAGCAGACAATCTAACACAGTGCAGAAAAAATGAGGGCTATAGCCTGTGAAAAGGAACATTTAAAAAACCCAACTAGTGATTTTCAGTGGGATATTTGTCTTGCAAATATGCTCAAGTTACGGATCGATTTGTTCACAATTTAGTCACTGGCAGTTTCATGAAAACCACTTCCAAAACTGTCTTGCACTTCCCAACTCATGGAAACTAAACTGAGATGGGTTCAAGACACCTGAGATGACTTTTAAAAGGTTTCTACCTTTAACATGGCTTGGCTGTGGAGCTTTTCCGATGCGCCATCGGTGGTCACAGGCTTTGGGTATCGGTCAATAGCACAAGATCAAGAATGCAGGTGGTGGAATTTAGTTTCACAGCATAAGGTGACCAGGCTCTGTCACAGAGATAGGATGATGATATTGGACATCTAGGAGGAACTTCAAGAAGGTCTGCTCATGCTGCTCTGTCTTGAGAGGAAGAGGGCCTGTCTTTTGAGGGGGAAGACCCTGGGACTGAACCAGGACGTGCTGGAGGGATTAGGCTGGACTGGGACCACTATGCTCGTTGGGTAGAGCACCGTCTTGGGTCAATCAGGGTTAACCATTATTGGGTTCGTTTATTGTGATTTTCCTGATGATTTGTGACTAAAGAGACAAAGTTATTGTAGGTTACTGTCTGCAGTGGATAAACAAGCCAATTTGGTAGAAAATAGAGGGATATGTGTTTACTTCTGCACATTAATATATATGAAAGATATCTTACACTAAAGATAGACGCTAAACTGCAGACAAACCACTCAGTGTAAAGAATAAAAATTGAGGGTATTTAAATAATGACAAATGGCACTAAAGTTGTTTAGTTATACAAAAATAACCTTGATTCTTGCATTTTTTTAGGTAGTAAAAGGGTAGGAGTCACAACAACATCAAATACAATGGTTTGAGTTGATGTCACATTGTGGTTCTCAACCATAAAATCCTTTACAAACAATAAACATCGTGTGGTTGGTCATTGAATGATGAAAAACAAATAATTTACCAACAATTTGTTACCAAATATTTAAAATGTTGTACAAAAACAAATAACCAGCAATCGATTTTGGCTTATCAAAAAAAAAAAAAAAAACCTGTTAAACAATATGACCCTTTGAGAGACTTTATAATTATAATAATAATTAAAGTTTTCATCTTCTGTCATTTTTCTATATCATCTTTTTGTTTGATTAGTAATTTTTAATTGTGTTGATTATTTTATGTTCTTACTTTGCAGCATTTTGGCCAATACAAATTTTCTTAAATGTGCTTGAGTTCATCAAATTTTTATCTACAGACTGACTAGACCAACTGCAATCCATTAACTGTCTCAGGTACAGGTGAGGACACCGGTGAAATGATAGTTTTCTATCTTCTTGTTATTTCCTTGTACACAACATCTGATAATGTTTGGTTATTGTGGCTAAGAAGGTGCTAAGCCAGAAAGCAAAGCTCTCAATATATCAGTCAATCATTGTCCAAATCCTCACCTATGGTAATGAGTTTTGGGCAATGGCCAAAATACCAAGATTGCAAAGATAAGCAGCAATAAATTAGTTTCCTTCATAGGGTGGCCAAGCTCAGCCTTAGTGATAGGAGGAGCAGCTCAAACACACTGGAGGGGCTTGGAGTAGAGCTGCTGCTCCTCCACATCAAGTTGGCCCAGGTGAGATGGTTCAGGCATGTCATGATATCAAGAAGCCCCCAGGTCATCCTGGAAAGATTACATTTCCAGGCAGGCCAGGAAATGCCTTGGAGTGGGGCTGGCGGTGGTTGCTTGGGAGAGGATGATTTAAGCCTCTGTGCTGAGGCTGCTAACCCTGGCTAACCAGAAGAAAACAGAAGGATGAACAGAAGTGGTTTTAATCCAGCGATTGAGTTGTCAGGCTCACAATTATGATGGAACCAAGAAGAAGCTGCAATAGGAAGGCAGTAAGAACGTTAATGAGGTGGTTTATGGTTGAGCAGCTGCATTTACAACCATCAAATCTGCTTCTAATCAGGTCTACCATCAGAACAAGGAGAATATAATCCTTTGTTCCTTACTATGGAGAACAATGAATTGCACCATTCAGCCTGATTTGTCTGTTTGAGCTTCCTGATGGTTACCGGTAACGGCCGATGATTGCAGCAACCTTTTATTTTCTCAAAAAAGAGCTGAGCTGGCCTGCTATTATGCAACTGTACACATCCAATCTCACTGACATAAACTCTGGGAGACACGCATATGTATAGTGTTCTACTATGCTCTGCTGGCGCTGTCTTCTTCATTCCTTGAGGTCTTCATTAGTCGGGCTGTATAAACCTCCCCTCGACTCTTCGTAGATATTTTTCTGTCTAGCTCGGTTTCTCTCTGTGATCAACATTTTGAACTCTGACATTTCTTGGATGATCTTGACAAGCAAATTAAAGGTGTACAATAATTTCCATCACTTCATTTGCCCGCAAAAGTCGTTTTTTGGTAGTTTGAATTAGAGCAAAACCAGTGTATAAAAATCCAACTTTTCAGCATTGTAACCATAGGTTAGAAAAGTATTAACAGTGTATTATTCCCTTGTAGTGTTGGGACCTGGAAAAGGATGATCTTTGATCATCTTCCCCAAGTTTACAGCAGTCAAGCAAAGACAATAAAAACAGTAGTTCTCTTTAAGTGTTTACAGGAAAAGTCATTGTCTGAACTACGAAATGAGAGAGAGCGAGAGAGAGAGAGAGAGAGAGAGAGAGAGAGAGAGAGAGAGATGGGCGTAGTTCTTTCCATCACAGTATCACAGTAAAAGGATTAGATGGGTTACGCATATCTGATGGAAAATTCAACACACAATATAATCCTATATGCAAAAACACTGATTATGAGTGGTAAGTGCTCAGTCTTTTCAAGTTGACGTCTACCAGACGTCTGCAAGCTTATTTCAGAAACCTTCAGCAGAATATTGCTCATCCTCAGACTTGTATGCTGAAAACCAAATGGGATAAAAGTAGTAAGATTCTCTCACAAATCTGACACCGAAGTGGCTGGCAGTGAGTTCAAGTCCCCAAACTTGAATCAGTCATCTTTGCGAGTCGTGCGCCTGCCTTGGTGAAGCAGGTTCTCCGTGTTCTCAGTGAGCTTCGGGAGAGGTCTCTATCTCTATCTACAGAACAGAAATGGACTGGACTGGATACAGTGAAGGTGTCTGGTTTGGTTCAACCTGTTCACCTCCTTGGGGATGTTGCTACAGCAGATGGCATTTAATCTGGAAAGAACGGAGGGCGGCTCTGATTTCCGCTGACAGTCGAACCAAATGATGTCAGGGTCTCTGGAGGCTAGAAACAGGGTGGCGGGACAATTTAGACCACAGTGTTTCGCTGCCTGTAGGGTGGAGGGGGCAAAACAGTGCCAGACTTGAGAGAAAACTCAGACATGTACTCTGAATTCTCCGCTACCGCTGGCCGTATGTGTCCGTTCTGCTTGTAGAAGAGCTTGGCATTGGTGGAGCCTCCCTGGGCCCCATCAGGAGCCACCTGGAATGAAGATTTAGGTGGCAAGCTGTGCTGCCAATATTCTGGATTGTCAAAGGTTACCTTCAGTTTCTTCCCACCGGATTTTCCTGAAGTATGCCCAACATGTTTCAGCATACTTGCAGGATGTGCTGTGGTGTGGCACTGGTACGCTGGCAGGCTACCGTGCCCAAGGGTCGCAGAAGTGGACAGGGAACCTGACTGGGTCATCTGTGCAGAAGTTCCTGTTTGGCTCAGAGCGATTGAGCCACCACCTGGATTTCCTAGTTGTCCTGGAGATTTGATGGTGCCGTGGCCATGGAGGATATGAGTTGATGGACCGTGAAGGCAGGGTAGCCCAGATGGAGATGGCAGGGTTGAGGACAGGGGGTAGTGGGGCAGACTGGTCTGGATTGTAAGTGGGAGGTGGGAGCCTGAGGCTGAGGCTGAGATGGAGGAAGGAGGCTGAGTGGGTAAGGGCAGACCATTTCTCCTCAGGGCTTCCAGACCCAGATCAGCAGGACTGTGGAAGGTGTTGAGGTAGAGGGGCTCGTTGATATACTCGTCCTCTCCCTTGGGCTGACTGTTGGGCATGCTATGGTAGCCAGGGTTGTCCAAGGCGTGGATCTCACCATTTTTACATCGAGAAACAAAGGGGTTCTCCTCAACAGGGTTCAGATACTCTGTAGAGCAGATCAAAGAAACGAAGAAGGGGTGGGTAGAAAGGGAAAGTGTTTAGGAGATTGAGGAGACCAAAGGAAGAGAAACCAAGTCAAAGGAATTGAAAAGTGAATAAAGGAAAGAAATCGGTATCTATAAAGAAGATGGTAATGGCAATAACAGTAGCCACTGAGGATCAGATAGGCAACATGCCAGCAGTTCTTTGGCACTAGAAGCTCCATCTGTTTGAGGTCAAAGTGCCAACAAATGACCCCGCTTCACTTGCTTCCAAATGCCATAATAGAGAGGTGTAAAACATATTGATTTTGCCCACTCTTCAGCTCCTTGACATCGCACCAGAATGTGTTTTGCTGCAGGGTTTGTTATATCTGAAGCAGCTCAGGAAAAAAATAATCAAAGACAGTAGAGCAGGAGCAAGGCTGATGGACTGAATTATGATCAAAGGCAAACACAACACGACTCCATAGTAGTAACTGACATAAATCGCTATCGATGAAAACTCGGCAGGAATAGTAATCAATGGAGTGGAACGAAATAAAGAAAGCAAAAGGAGAGGCAGAGAATACAACAGCAGATGGTATTAACAGGATGAATGAGTAAAGAAGTGCATACATGACGTTTTGTTCCTGCCTGTGTGGATTAGGATTAGGCTTTTCAGGGTGTTTCTTAAGAGTACCTGAAGGGATCTTGTCTTTCATTGCTGTCATGTAGCCATCCTCATCAGTGTCCCCACGAGACGTCCTCTCCCCCAGGAAGATGGTGGGGTCAGCGCTGTAACGCTGGGCCCCGCTGTCATCCCCTCCAGCTTGGCTCTGGCTCTTCTTATGTAGGCTTCCATTGCAGCGCTGCTCCTCCAGGGCTGGAACCTGGCTGCTTGCTGCTTCTTGGTTTGGACCACCTTGGGCACCTGTCAGGGCTCCTTCTGGTGGGTTTGGACCACCGTCTCGACAACCAAACTGATTCTGAGGTAAAAGTAAGTTTGATACAGAAGATGAAGAAATGGTTAAATCACCAAGAACAAATAGACATTCTTTGACCCTGTAGAGTTTCCTGTAGAGTTTCCTTTTTCTAAGGGGTCTACCTCTTCAACAGGATTAGCAGCTAACTAAAAGACATTCTGCTCACTGGTGGAAGATCTAAGTATCACAGACCTAATTCTTCTATTTTTTTCTTATTCCATTTCTTTTTTAACACTATTGCACTTTATTTTTCTTCTTCTACAACAAGCATTTTTGACCCGTTTCAAAGAATTTCCTTGTTTTTTGCTACTACAATTTTTCTTTTGGTACTTCTTTTTCTTCTACTACTTATTTCTTGTTTATTCTGCTTCTTCTACTATTTAGATTTCTTACTCTTGTCTACTGTCTTGTCGACTCTTGTCTTTCTTTTACTGCCCCTTTCACTTTTCGTCTATTACTTATTATTCCTTTGCATCCAACTCCTTCTTATTATTATTTTAAAGAGGGACTGCGCACAATCAAAAAATGTAACTCCACCCCTTGTCAAGATTTGAAAAATGCTATGAGAGTGGGCGTTGCCAGGAGGCATAGAGTGGCATGGCCAAGTGTGGGGAATTTCCATCCTGGAAAGAAGGGGGAGTGGGAGGAGACTGCACCGATGACATGAAATTGTACCAGCCCCGGTCAATCACAAGTTTAAAATGCAGTAGCTGGTGTTCTGCCACAGGGGGCAGCACTAAGGCGTTTTTAGACCTAGATTCTAGATTTAATCAAGTTTACACAAACATGTCAAAAAATGCACAGAAACAGAAAGATTGCATATGTAAAGACCCGATTATACAGTTTATCAGCAATAAAATGTTATTTTGGTGTTTAGTTACTCTTTAACTACTTAATTTATTTTCCCCTCTACTTCATTTAAACTTCTGTACATCCCTTCATTTCCTTCTCTTTTCTTCCACGTTCCTTGGCCAGTACGGGTATTATCCCTCCAGCGTGACTTGAGTTGACCCAGAGGCCTCCTGCCCAATACACTTCCTCTGGGAGGTGTCCAGAAGGCGTCCTGACCACCCCAGCTTGTTCCTTTCGACGTGGAGGAGTAACAGCCCTCCTCAGAGTCTCACACAGATTTTTCAGCTCCTCATTTAAACGTACACTGTTAATTATCGCATAAAAGTATAGGGAGCCAAAGTCTCCTCCCTTTCCAGTTGGCTCAAGGTTCCCCTGAATAAAAAAAATGAATGGGAGTGAACGGGGATAAAAAAATTATTGGTCTGCTTTGCTTTATGCTCTGATCAAAAAATTACTTATATTGGCTTATAGGCTCACCCTCAACTCTCATTTTTGGTCACGAGCTTTGGGTAGTGACTGAAAGAACGAGATCGCGGATACAAGCGGCTGAAATTAGTTTTCTCTGCAGGGAGTCTGGGCTCTCCCTTAGAGATAGGGTGAGAAGCTCAATCATCCAGGAAAGGTTCGGAGTAGATCTGCTGCTCCTCCACATCGAGAGGAGTCGGTTGAGGTGGCTCAGGCATCTGGTCAGGATGTCTCCTAGACGCCTCCCTGGTGAGGTTTTCCCGGCACGTCCAACAAACAGTTCAGTTTTAAACATATAGACTTTTCCAACTATTATTGGATGTAGCATTTCATTTAAAGGGCAAATGAGCCTGATGATATTTTAAAGTTTCTCCATCTGTAATGGAACTTTTGGCTCTTCCTGCTCACTCTCTGTTAAAGTAGAATTCTAATGTAAATGTCTGCTGCTGTAGTCATCAGACTTCAGAGATTGTGAAGAGCAGTCGGACAAAGCAACGATTTCTACACCTGAACTTCAGAATGAGAACAAAAATCCCCAGAAGTAAAAAAAAAAAAAAAACATGACATGTGAAGCAAAAGGGCTTCTTGTGTTGCTACGCCGGCCTGCCGGAGTCTGATCAACCCAGGCCAGCTATCCTGGACTCTGCCAACTTAACACTGAGCAGCAATTACACGAAGCAGAGCAACATAACACAACAAGAGAGAGAGAGAATGAGATAAATGTCCTGGGGTTAGATCTGTCCACCTACTTCATCGCTATCAGCTTCCTCCTCTAAATTTCTTTCTTCATCTGTGCTTCAAAGCAACTCATTATCTGCTCCTCTTTACTGAGCATGAAGCAAATCAGCACAGATAACTGCATCAAATTGCATCTGCAGTGGCAAAAAAGTAAAGAAATACATCACTTTGGCAAAAGCATCGAGCTGATGAATTTAAAACATTGATTTTTGCCCATTCAGGATGTGTGGCGTTTGACTTCATGGTGGAAACAAGCAATAAAGACCTCAAAGACACTGATTTACTCGGCTTTTAGGGGCATTCTGTGCACTAAAGGATGCTTACAAGTAATGGGAGAATTTATTAGCCATTTAAAAGGCTACTATATCTACTTGTAAGTCACTTTGGACAAAAGCATCTGCTAAATACATAAACAGAAACATACTATATGTGCAATGCCTTGTTTAATGAATGATGGACATCTTGTGGTCACATTTGGGTACTGCAGTCCATTTTTCCAAACAAAAGGTGACTTTCTCACTCCTCTTGTGTGAGTTTCATGGTTGTTGCCAGGTACGGATCAGCACCAGAATATTCTAACAAGTGACAACTCACACACAGTAATTTGATAAGCAGATCAATACATTGTTATATCTGGTGTTAGCACACGTGTGTGTTGTACGCATGGGTGCACTTACTACACTTATTACAGTAGAATGCCTCCGGCATTAGAGGAAGTGTGGTTGCATTTTCCTTAGGGAGAGGACATTATAGTGTTTCACGCAGATGAAAACTATTTGCCAAAAATGTTAATAATCAAAACCAACAGCACATACATTGTTAACCAGTTAGTAGTTATGAGACAATGAAAATGTATTTAACTGGATTTCAATTTATATTATTTGCAAATAGAAAAATGGTACTTTCTTGTTTTGCTGACATCAAATAATTTGAATTTCAGCACACCTGTGTTGTGTTTTTACCCATTTCTGCAAGGTCATTTTCTGTTCATTTCTGTTTATGTTTCTTTTTAAACTGGCATGAAAAAGGAACATATGACTGTTTTACATGAAAGTTGAGCTTTAGACAACAAAATCTTTCACTTAGACTTACGGTTTATAAAAACCACCTTATGTTTAAGGATCAGGACTTGCGTAGGTGCAGAATACAGAATGCACTGAAGGGTTGTGAACACATAAACAAGCAAACAAAAAAAAAACTTCCCACTCTGTAGTTGGTGCAGATTTTAGCATTTTACGTAATTCCAGGGTGGAGTGCAGCTAAACAATTTCTCATCTATTAGTGGTGCTCTTACTCTGTTCGAGTCGACTCGAGACCTGTTTGTGCCCGACGAAGGAGGCAGGCTGAAACCCCGTGGCACCAGATACTCGTCAGCATCCATCAGGTCATCAAGGTCCTCCTCATCAAGCAAGCTCTGGAAGAACTTACTGTCGTTTGGGCTGGGGAGCTTCATCCGGTCATCTCCCTGAATCACAAACAGGGTAAACCTTTACTGACTTCTTTGAAGGAACAGTATTCAGCCATGATACACCAAGGATGGTCTCCACTGAGATGGACAAAAAACAACAGAGGGTATCAAGACAGATGCTGTAGTCTAAATTAAGCACACACACAAAAAAAAAAAGCATCAGATGTTTTGATGCCCTTTTAATTCAAATGGATGCAAAGAAAAGCCTCATTAACGATGGCCCGTTCAAGCAAACACACCTGGATGACCAGAAAGCGTTGCGGATCGCGAGCCATCCTGCAGAACTCGGCTGCTAGCTCCTTGAACTTTGGCCGGCTGTCTGCATCAATCATCCAGCCTGGTGAAGGGGAAACAGCAAAAAATAAAAAAATAAAAAAATAAACGTATACGTCTTTACAGCCCGCTGCTTCTGCAGTTCATTACTTTATGATCGTCTGGGATACTGGAAGCATAAAAAACTTCATTTTTCATATTAAGTATAACAAGTATTTTGCAAAGCTGCTTTATAAAAATAGTCACAATACCATGAACACATCTGGGATTTTTGCAAACCTTTTGATCCTTTATAAGTTTAACCTCCATTTACTGGAAGAATGCCGACTGAGCAACAATGACACTTGTTTTAATTAAGTTCTTTACAAACCGAGGGCTAAATGCTCACCTCAAGGGTGTTTTCAAAGTGGATAAAAAAGGGAAATGTGTGTTTTTTTCCCTGAGGGTACAATGGCTGTAAACACAACAAACCCTAGAAGGTAGATTGAAACAGCATGTTGTGTCTGGGCTCAGAATAAACTAACTTAATGGCTGAATGTGGCCTCTACATCTCGATTACTCATCCTGGGTAAAATGTGGATAATTACAACCTCTAAAGGTGGGTTCTTTTGCTACTTTACACCTAATACAACCACAAAAAAAAAAATCTAAATATGTTCCCTATTCAGTGAACGCACATGGGGTCTTTTGTAAATTGCCGTGACCGGTTTTGTTTAGTTCATCTAAGCTTGTATTTGCTCAACTCCACTCAGGCACATTAACTAAATCAGGTGCAATTACTCCAGCAATCAAACTCCATTTTATCTTTATCAGGGTGGTGCTGAGGCGGCAGGGAACGCTGTGTGACGCCAAACCGAGTCGCAAACAACTGCTTTCCGTCAATGTGTTAAGCTTCCTCTTAGCTTCTGAATGGGCAGCATGACCCACCAGTTCATTCACCTAAGCAATCAGCCAGTTTCAGGCCATTTTTATATTCAGATATGAACATCGGGCTGGTTGGTTGAAATAGCAGAGGCCCAGCCTTACCAAAACCATGCAGCCACTGGTTTGTTTCTATTTTACTTGTACATTGTTTCGATTCACTTTTTGGTCCGACTCATTGTCGCATGTGCATGTGCACCACATCACCTTTCTCTTCTTTGCACAAGCCAAAGAAAGGCAGACTGGTCTACAGAAAGAAAAATGTTTTATAAATCAACTAAAGAACAAAAAAAAAAAACCTTTAAAGGCACACTTGGCGGTTAGGCTTGCTTTTAGCGCCCCCTAGAGTCCGTTTTAACTCACTGTTGTTAAACCAAAACTGAAACTCTCCTCGCTGTGCGCTCGTTTTTTTAACACCTTAGTCAACTGAAGTGTCTCCTCAGCCTCCATTAATGTCTACAGGAGTGATTCATCACTAAATGAAACAAAATCAGCTGTGTTCATAATCTAAAACATGCAGGGCATGTGCTGGAAGCAGACTGCAGGGCTAGCATGTCAGCTAGCTACTTTACTATTGACTAACAGAGTTCCTGGAACAGGGGTCTTGAAGTTGAGTCTTGTTTGACTCCTGTTATGGTCAAACACTCTTTCTGATTATTTTAGCTTCATCAGATAAATGCTGTCTTTGTCTCTTCTGAGGTTCCTCTATGATAAACACGTTACAATAGATGCTAACCAGGTATAACTTTTTTTACCTGAGATGTGAACATGGATTGCCTCATAGCGTTACTGCTTTATGCTAGATACGTAACTTTGGGGAGCGGTCCGGATACTCTAAAGTTGCAAATGCGATATTCTGGCCAAAGAGTGACATTTCAATAACGCTGTAAAACCAAAATGCATAGCATAAATGGTTTGTTTCACTAGATAGTGCATTCGTACTTTGCACTTTCATATACGTAAGAACAAACATGTCGATGAGCCAAAGAATCCTCAATCACTCTAAAACGATGAATGTTGGAGAAAACTTTTTCCCATCTTGTTTTTCTCCGCTGGAAGTAGATGAGTTGTAGTTTAATAGGAAGAGTTCATTATTTTAATATTCATCTGCAGAGATGTTATTGAAGCTCCGGGGCTTCGTTTTCAAGGCTGCAACACAAGTAGATTTATAACGAGGAGGCAAAGATCGAACTGTGTTGTCATGAAACTGATGAGATGCTGCTTTATGGTCTGGAATATGCAGGCGGAGGATTTTACCCCCCTCCATCACCACTATTCTTTGTTGGTGTCATCGTCCATCTGGTCTACAGCATCGTCGTTCCAATCAACTTTCTCCAAATCTGTCTGCATCTTGCAAAACCCTTCCAAAACCTTCTCTCCACCATTTCTTTCTTTCACCCCATTTCCTGGCTGGACTGGAACCACGTCACTTCTGGAAGGGGTCACCAACGGCTCCACCCTCCCATATTTTCAGGAAACAGTCCAGCCGTGTGTGCCAGAACACATACTGAGCCATGCCAGCTATCGCTTTGTTGGCTCAATTCTCTCGCACCAGTTTGGGGAAGGCTCCACTTTGTCAGAACACTTTTATTTCTTGTCCTGAAAATAGACTCCACACAAACTTGACTTTTATGGTTGATCAGATCGGTTGTCCTCTAAGAATGTCGACTTAACGCATGTCAAACTGTGAGCTGGACTTGTTTTGGTACATCATCGTCATCAGCTTTCTGTTACAACAGTTGACTTGCAAAACCTTCAAAGCGGTTCCTACTAGTCGCGACTCCAGCATGTGTAATCCTGATCTCTCCTGCAGTTTTGCATGCATTACTCAAGAAATAATGTTTTAATTAGTGATCTTTAGAGGTTCCGACAGTCGGAGCTGGGGTTTGTACTTCGCTAAGCTCTCCTGCTGCTGACACCAGCTGAATATTAAACAAATATGTGTGAGAGGAGTTTTTACCACCAGCTTTGATCTAATTTATGGTAAAAGTTGCAGGAGTTGTTCCTCCCTTACATTTGACCATGACCATGTACACATCAATAGTGCAGATTGGCGGCTGGGGCAGGCGCTCCCCCTTTTCCAGAATGTCTGGGATTTCTCTTGTAGGGATACCATCATACGGTTTTCCACCAAATGTCATCAGTTCCCAGATGGTCACACCTGAGCAAAGAGGGAAAAAGAAAAAGATGGAACCATGGCAGATGAAACAAACACATTTTACATGTAGCACAAAACACACCCACCATAGCTCCAGACGTCACTTTGATGGGTGAACTTCCTGTAGTGAATACATTCCAGAGCCATCCACTTAACGGGCATCTGAAGAGACACGAATACATAAATCTAAAGCATTCATTATGGATTCCAATAGAGTTGCAGAAAACTGATTTAAACTAAGATCAGAGTTTGTTGGTGGTGGAGTTGTAGCTAGAACAAAACATGCATGTTATTGACTACATGACTACATTGTTCATTCCTCAGTTGTAAGGTGCTCTGCCAGTTGGTGGTCAAAGTCAAAGATGGAGTCTTATGTCAAAATGCATCAAAAGGTTATTTTCAATATTCAGTATTCTGACAATAGTTGATGAGCCTCAAAAATGTCTTTACTTGTCTTTTTATTAAATCATATGTTGAATTTTACAGTACAAAGGCCAAATGCACCAAACCTCACCTACACCTCACTTTATCAAATAGAACAGGATTATTCTCAATTTATAATAAGTGGACCTAAAACATAAGGGCTACTTTCATAATTATGTGCAATAATTATATTGACAATCTTAATTTACAATTATTCTCTCGTGCGATATTTTATGTGTGCTACTGCTGCCATTCTCTGTCATTGAGCTGTTGCAATAATGCAAGTTCCCCACTGAGGGACAAATACAGATATTCTTGTTGAAAAGATACCACTTTGAGACGTCTTAGGGCTGGACATATTTTCTTTTTAAGCCTGCATTGGTGCAGGCAGCCTGCTGCGTTGTTGTTCACAAACTCGTTACTGCACTGTACGAAGCACTGGAGGAGTCTGCTAGGGGGTGCAATAGAGTACTCAGACCAGATAGAGAGCTGGGTTTGTGGGTACAACCAAAATCAAACATGGCGTTAACAGAACAGATCAGCAACTGATTATTTTAGAGTTCACGGCAGAAGAAAAGACAGCAGCGGTATCGTAGATAGTATGAAGGACCTCGAAACCAGAAACAGAGGGACCATGGTGAGTGCGTCTTGCTCGTTTTGTCAACGCCACCTACTGGTTAGTCATATACACCAGCGTTTGGCGTCACATTCATTTTGGGTGACATGCACAAATGATGCTTCAAATCAACGCGAGACAGCCATTTTAAACACACATACATGTCGGCCAACTGCAAGTATATTTCCAGAATACAACTAGTGTTTGATGCGAGGGCTCAGAGTATTTACTGGAGATAATTCCAGTACTATAGTATTACTAAAGAATAGAAATGAAAGCTTTCTTGTGAACACTGGCTAAAGTTGAATAGCTGACACAAAGTTAATGCACATATGCCCATTACAAGTTACATTAAAATCCATCTAGTGGTTTGTAAGATATTTTCCCAATCACTGCCTTCCCATGGAGGGCGACAAACACAGATGTATTTTCTGTCATTTCTGTTATTTTATAATTCTTTTAGTTCAAAATTGCTCTACAATCCTGATTGACCCAAATTAATCACCAGTAACGAGCCTTGCTGAAGGCAGCAAATGCCATTTGTCTTGAATTATCTAAACAGCCTGTAAGCTTTTGAGGACGCTGGGTGTTAAACTGTGATAACAACTGGTTTCCTGACATTCCTGACAAGGACAAAGACTCACGTATCTTAACTGCACTTTTATCCCAATATTGATGGTGAAAGGAGGTGTTTAGCTGTACACTGAGCAAGGCAATTATGCTCTCTTCTGCATATGACTGCACACGTGCACACACGTGTCGGTTGTCCACGGTAGGGCCCCCCACCCCCACCCCCGGTTAGAGCATGCAAGTCTCTTTGGGGAAATGATCAGGAAGAAAGAAAATATGCTTCAGGTTGGGAATGTGCTACCGCACCTCCACTTCCAACCTTGTTGATTCATCTCCCATGGTGCATCTATTTTTATGAAGTACATTTAGATGTGCTGACAACGGTGCTCATTTATCAAGGCATCAACAAATACCAACATGGAGTCAATCACTCAGATGGCTGCCTCCAACTCGTCCGGGTTATGAAAATGCACCCCTCCCCCCTCACTTTTTAAAAAAAAAATTTTGTTAGCAATAACAGCCCAGACACGAGATGCGGCGGCCACCTCTGGGCCACCAGCTGAATGCATGTGGTGACGAACAAGCCAATTTAATAAAGGGAGTTGATCAGAGCAATTTGCATAGCAAGTCTCGAGCGGGAAGAAGCGTAAGGGGCTTCTGATTAATGGAGTCCCCAAACAAAACAAACTGAGTAGAATTCTGGCCGTGTTGTTTGTTTGGGTGAAGTGCCTCTAATTCGTATCACAGAAACAAAGTTTAGCATTGGAACCTGTTAAATCTGCGGCTCGCTGAGATTGAAAAAATGCATTTCTTTATGTATATACACCCTCACGATGTTGACTACAATGGAAATTGTGTGCTTCATCCATTTAGAAATTTGAGATTATACTAAAGTCTCCTTTGTCCAGCTCTAATGAACACCTACGTGACAGCCTGGTATAACTACTAGCTGTTAGGTGAAATGAAAATCATTTTCCGCTGCATCGCACTTGGATGTCAGCAAAGCTGTTATTTGTGAAGTTATTTGACCGAAAACAAACAGGTGGATCTCGATGATGATTTCGCCGTGTCATTTTAACGTATCACCTTTTAAAATGGGCATCTGCAGAGTTAGATTATCTTACTGCTTCATCATTTTGGTTAGATTTTTGGGTCTGAAAACAGTCCAACAAGTGCTAAATTTTTTTAGCGCAATATAAATGAATAGCGTCAATATTAATTAACAATTGACCATACCACAGATATTTTAGGAGTTTAACATGCAACGACCTGAACGATGAGCCAATTGCTGGTGAAAAGTAAAAAAAAGAGAGCAATAACTGATCGTGAATATTTTCTGTGTTTGTCTGACTGAGCAGACTAGAAACAGATGGAGGGGGCCTTGTGCTTTGTTAAAAATCACTTCCAGGGTGACACTATAGAAGTGCTGCACTAAAAATAAGTCTAAAATAAAGCAAAAATTGGTGAACATGAGTAGATCTGGATTTTCTTTAGAAGCCTTGTAATGAATCTATGAGATTAGTTCATTTAGTTTATACCCAATAATGCGATTATTAAAGTGACAGTGTGTGTTTTTCCTGGCAATAGGGGGCAGTAGATACCTATATAGTTGCAAACAAGTAGTATTTTTGAGTTGGGGTAAGACCTTACCAATGGATGCCCATTAGGGTAAAAAAGCCCTGTGGAGTGCAAACTTTAGCAAAGTAACAAGCACATCAGACTCCCTTTCATCACTGACGACAAGTGAAGAGGTAAATGTGTAAAACAACAAGAATGATGAACGTTTTCTAACCATTTGTTACAAATCAGTAAATCCATTTAATCCTCATGGGCTCCTGTAGAAGGAAACATGGCATCTAATATGGCATCACCCAGAGACTTAGGGTGTTTCTCAATGCCAAGGAACCTTGCCTTGATGTCTTGGCCCTGCCCCGGTTGCCTAGGAGATACGTCATCGGGAGCCGCCAAGACGTGTTCCAATGTTCATGTTCTGCTGAGGCGTGTGTTCTCTGTATGTTAGCCATTCAGCTAGCTGAGCAAGGATACACGGTAGGTGTCTTGTAGCCTAGCCTTGGTCAAAAATTACCCAGAATACACCGCGGTAATTTGAAAAGGACAGCGGATCAGAAGCCGGCATCTACTTAGGGGAAAATTTTCAAGTTTAAAAGTAAGTCAGCTAATTTAAAATGTTTTTTTTAGATCCAAAGAAGTTATCTATTGTTGGTTAGTTGCTTATTAGTTGCAACTTCGGTGTCTAGTGGGTAGTAACTCACTTATATTTTTAATTTAATAAACACATACATGATTTAAAAAGTAAAAGACTCATTATATATTTATATTGAAACTAATTTGTACAAAATATAACGTTGTCTCCCGTGTCACATGATGTTACGTGACCGCCGTGGAAGCCGCAGTCACGTGATGCAAGTCTGTTCCATTTAACAGTTTTCTTTGACCAAGGAAGGACAGTGTCCTCGTAAACAAGGTGCCTGGCCTTGCAAGACATCGCTTCGCAAGGCCAGGCGCCTTGACATTGACCCGCTCTCATGTACTTTAGACCAGATTTTTATGGTTATGTGTTACAAAGCTGCCAATATTTTTCAACAACTGGGCATCATTTCAATTATTTTCAACAGCATTTTGATGGATGTTTCCAAAAACTAATGGTAGAAACACATTGCCTCTTTAAGGATCAAACAGATGGTTTGATTGATTTTTAAGCCATTCTACTAAAATTCTTTCAACTGCCTACCAAGATAACCCTACTCGTGAAGCAAATCCTTTCCCCGTTTCTAAATTAAAATGTTTGTGTTGATAAATCTGCTAATCACTATTTTTGTGGTAATTTCATAAAACAATGTGAAGCTGTTATCACCAAATAGTTGATTCTGATAGTGGGGGTGGATGTTGTCGGGGCAGGGACGTCACTGAGGCTCACGGAAAACCGTGGAAAGATTTTTAGACATCAAAATCATTAGAAAAGATTTCCAACTACATTTCTAAGTTAAATACTCAGGAAATGTAAAGACAATTACCATAAATATATTTTATAAAGATATTCTCCTTTAATAAATAGCTTATAATGTTTGTGTGCTCCACCATGCTCTAGACAGGGTCATGAGCATACAACTTTTATCGAATGAGGTCAAGCTGAAAGTTTTGGGAGCCACTGATTTAGGAGAAAGTACTTTAAGAGTTTATCAAACTTTTTTACTGCATAGTCTTCTAGCTGCTATCATGGTGGCATGTGATAAAATGTCCAGGCATTTCTTTTAGGGTGCAAGGGTGTGATTCAAAGATGTGCTCACGCCTCCACTTACACCAACCTTGCCCCCGTCCGCGCTGTACTCCTTCTCGTGGGTGTCCAACAATCGCGCCAATCCAAAGTCTGCGATCTTGATGTGATTGGGAGACTTGACGAGCACATTTCGCGCCGCCAGGTCTCTGTGGACCAACCTCCTGTCCTCCAGGTACATCATCCCCTAAGAAAGAAAGGGAAAAAACATGACTGTAGCCACATATCATTTCCTGTCACAAGACTGAATCCACGTGCCACCACTGATGTGATAAATGTCAACACTAATAAAAGATTTCCAAGCTGTTATTATCATTGCCAACATGCCATTTAGATTTAATATTTCATCACTTTAAAATTCAGATGCAACAGGTCATATGAAAGTTTCCAGCCGGTATCCCCAAAACAAAACTCTTAATTGCAGCCGTACTTTTTGCAACACGACCTTTCAGTCACTCCTTGCCTCTGTGATGACGAAACACATTGGTTCAGTGGCTTCTCTAACGCTGACAGATGCACTTTCATCAGTTGTTCAGGAGCCAGACAAAGGCACCAGCAGCAAATTGGAGATAAAAAACCAGCTGTGGTTGCAGTCTGAAGTGTGTAACGTCTACATCTTGCAACTCAATGAGACCCTCTCTGAGGGGCCACCTCTGTGGTAATAGGGGTTATTTTCTTGATGGAGTCGATGTCTAACTAATTTGTTAATTGCAAACGCCTGATGAGTAAAGCTTGGATACAAACAACACAAGAAAAGGCAACTTTGGTTGTTGGTATTAATGTAGACATCAGGACTGGGTGGACAGTTTGCATGGTCATACCTTATGTTTGTTTCTGCCCAAACGGTACAGACTCCTCTATTTCACTCAAAGGTGAAGCCAAATAGGAAGACAAGCAAGGCTGAGCCAATTCAGGCCTATTAGACTGGATGTTAAACAAGTGGGTGCCACTTTTGAGGGTGGATCAATGAGAACACCTTGTGAGAAGCGAGGCGGTGATTGCACTCAGCAGACAATGAAAAATTCACGCCTCCGCTCCTTATAGAGAATCATTGCCCATCTCAAACACTTAAGGGTGCAAACACTGTAAACATGTGTTTTGGACGTGTGCACGTATTGAGGAGAGTTGTGTTGAAATGTTCACCGCTGCTGCCTCCCTCCTCTTCCCTTCCTCCATCCCTCCTCCTCCCAGACGAATGTGAAGATAAATCAATAGCGCCGACGTCTGACTCGCCGCTAGCTGAGCCCTCATCCATCATCCTCCGGCCTTGCTGAGACTGACACACACACACACACACACACACACACACACACACACACACACACACACACACACACACACACACACACACACACACACACACACACACACTGACACGCACAACTGGGAGGCCACCGATACTGAAAAGCAAGACATTTTTCCCAGCGCATACATGCAATAAATAACTGTCTCTGTGTTTGCATGGTTTTCTCTTTTGTCCACCAGTTTGGAACGCTTCCTGCTTCTTCTTCCCCTCTCTTGGACTGTCCCTAACCCAATATGGGGACACAAAATGCTGTGGCAAGGCTTAAAACACCCACCCTCTTCCCCATTTTGCAGCAAGTGTGTTAAAAATAGATTACTTCGGTGGTGATAGGGCAGGCGATCAATAACAATGCTGATTACAATAAGCCCAAAGACGAGCATGCCGCGCAATATTTATCTCCGATGTTGATGTCGAGAGAAATTAGGAATCAATGGGCCACACAGCCCATTAATACACTTCGACTTAAAGTGAAGGGGCAATGAGGTGAGGCCATTGCACTGACAGCAAGGAATGTACAACAGCTCGAGGAGCCAATTAATTTCCAGCCACCCAGGGAGGTAAACACCAGTGTCCCGGCGGAGGATGTGGGGGCCAGTAGCTGTTTCAGGTTGAGAGGATCCCGCTGATTGGGCTGCTTTAGCGCTGCCCCTGGAGTGTCCCCAGAGTCAAGGGGTCTGTAAAGACTGCGGAGAGATGGGATAATTTGTGATTACATAAAAAGTTACAGAAGAAGTAATTAATAAACATTTCAATTCATGGAAACCCAGTGGCAGAGTGCTGATTAAAAACTCCTTCTGCTCAGTTATGCACATCCATGATACCGTTTATTATTCAAACATGTGGGCTAGCTGATGAATTATATATATTTTTTTAGATGAATAAATTGGAAAATAAAGAAAGCTGCATGTTGGAAAATAGCTGTTTGAATTTTTATCAGATTTTTCAACTAGATGAAATAATTTTGTTCTCTGTCTTTGATCACGTTTTGAAAATCAATAATAGATCTTTTCTGAAGGAATTCTAAAGGGTACCAAAGCTGCTGCAGCTCATCAATTTTGTAATAAAGTGCTGTGTTTAGATGCATAAAATGCATATGCATTGAAAACAAAGTATGATAATAATCGCCATCTATGGTAACCCTCAGTGGCCCATTAGGTTTACCCTAACTACACACCTGTGTCTCACTACTTGCAGGAAACTTGATCAAAGGACACCTAGATGTTGTTTTCTGCAAAACACATCATATAAATTAGCAGCAGAAGAATCTGATGCTCACTCATCTAACATTTGAATGTCTCTTATGTGGGGCTATGACAAATGAAAATATTCTTCGATTCCTTATTTTAAGAGACAAATCATAACTGGATTTTACTGTAGGCTCATTGGGAGTAATGGTGGGAAAATGCTGCACTCTGAAGATTTGAGAGAAAACCCATGGAGACCCAGCTAGAATGGCGGTCGGTCACTATGACAGCTCCAGTAGGCAGCGCCAGTGTACGGGGCGTCTACGTATACGATGTCTGTGGGAGCACCAGCCAAGTGCCGGCTGTCGGCAGGAAAAGGCGTTAAAATAAAACGAAGCCTTCATAACTCCTGGTGACGAAACAGCTTGGTGGAGCTAATCTGTGACATCATATGGTACCAGCTAATGTCATAGGGTACCTCTTAGCCAATAGCGATGGCAGATTTAAATTCAAATGCAGTGCAGAGTTTTTACCTGACGACGGCGCAACACTGACAGTTTTAGGCAGAAAATGAAAATTTTAACCAAGATGCACTGAAGCGACAAATAAATGACTTACATATGTCTACAACACGATTAGACACTCATTTGTCTAGTTTATAAGCAAAACTTTTTTTGATTTGGAACCCGGTGGGTTTGGGTGCCTGATCCACCGGGTTTCAGACGTGGTTTCGGCCGAACCAAGTAACCTACCTAGCGGCATAGCTTTCCATTCCACGGTGCCATGACGTCCCTTCTGTGTGCACGCTTTTTATCAGCAAATAAGGACGTGAGCCGCTGTAAAACTAAACAGCAATACGTCTGCCGACAGGTTTAATTTAATTCTGATATCTTAGACCAAATAAGAAGCTTTCAGCTGACCGGCTAGTGTTAGCTTGGCTATGTGCTAAGCTAACATTAGACACGTGTAGATAAGAGCCGCTGAAATCTGCCTTTGTGCTTTCTGTCCGTCAGCCGACGCGGCGACGGACAGAAACTCAACTGAAGATTCCTTCGCGGTAAAGCTTGGGCAAACCAAACCGCCATGTTTGTGACGCTAACTTTAAAATAGCTCTTCACTCTGGCTATTCCACCATTTTTGACCAAAACGTAACAAAACTTAGAACAACAAGAATGAGGAAGTGGTAATCGTCTCTTCTTCTCTGACCAAATTACATCCGCCCAACAGATACCGCCAGCTACAGGCTTGTTTTAATCCAGCTGATCCATTTAACGTTGTAGAAATGTTTAGTCTAAAGTTTAGTCTAAAAGAGATTATTTAAGAAATAAACAAAAACTTCTGCAGCAAACAGATTTAAGCCACAAGTCATCTGCCTGTCCACCTATAAATCCACCTAAATGGTTACTGGAAACGTAAGGAACGAGTATTTTAATTACCAAAGCAAAAATGTACTGGAACCTTGTCTGAAAGGTCTCTTAAAGCAGCGTTTCCCTTTCCTCTCCTAGTAAACAGTCTTGTTTGAGAGCCACATGCTGCTCCTCAGCACCAAAGTCAAGGGCCTACCAGCACTGCTGCTCATCCCTGGATTACTCCAGTGTTTTTCCAGCCCTCACAGCTTCAAGTGGTGCTGGTGACCAAAAATATTAGCCCTGTTTGACTCTTAAGGCCACTGCAAAGCTGAGACCTTTGCTAAAGTTAAAGTGTGCTTCAGGACAGGTCGGACCTGTTTGTGCGAGGATTCTACAGCTTTAAATAACGGTATTTGTTGGTCTGAAAAGAAACAAGACAAGCTGTGGAGTTTAACACAAAGCCAGAGAGTAGAGACCGACTGGTCTAAAAGGTTAATTAATTTTGATTTCAATCAAAATGTTTAATCATGTTTCCATGGACTGAATGGCCTTATGGGGGTCATTCAATTATCCCTAGGGGACAACAAAGTCCACCATGTTGTTTTTTATGTTTTCATACAGTAAATGATAGCAAACAGAACAGTATGTAACAGTATCTTTGCTATAGTGGCCATTTTGAATTAGATAGCCATCAATGGCTAATCAGTTGCAGGCTTTCCCAGGGTTTCTTTTACGTACATCACATAGTTGATGGGATCGGACACAAACTCTAACAAGTGAAAACGTTAAAGGTGATGAACACTTGTTTAATCAATACACATGCAGTGGTCTCTAGTAATAATTAATGCCTTGTAAGTCTTACTCTGGGAGAAAAAAAATCTCAGATGCACCTGTTTCAGCATGACAGATTCAGCTGAGGAGATTGTAGCTTCACATAGCAGGTTTTGGACACGTATTTCCTGACATTCAAACATCTATCCTCTGATTGGCTAACAGCAACACAACTCTACCACTGACTCTGTTTGCTCTGCAACATTGATGTTTTATCTCCACAAATAACACAAGCCTGGAGTGGTTCTGCCCTGTGGTGGAGTTGCTAATGCTAATGGTCAGTTTCTACTAGTTGAGACATTATCTGCTGTTTCCTTGATGTTAAACCAACAACAGCCTTCCCCGTCGTGAGTAAAAATGGGTGAGTCCATGAATGTTAACCACTGACGACATAAGTCGTCATTTTAAATCCAACCGTTCACTGCCAATCACGACTAAATTTGCCATTTGCATTTTTTTACTGTGTGGGCATCGGAACGAGCACCCGCACCGTGAGAAACAAACATCCCAGCTCTAA